AATCACCTTTATGCTATTGTATGTTTTTACTGTTGATGCTTAATCTACCCTATTCGGATTTTAAAGCTGGGGTTACACCTTCTGTTCGTTCACTCAGCCTAGTTTTCGATTGGTTAGCTTTGTGACACGTGAACAAGAACAAGGAAGTAAAACGTGGAAAGAAGTGTGGAGAAGAGTAAAGAGCTGTTTAAAAAAGTAATTTGTCTCCATCCTGCTGTGTCTGCTGTCTGAGCGAGTCCTTACCGCAATCTATCAAACACACATGTTAAATCGGCTTACTGGTTTTTCTTCTGTTGTCTTAATGCAGTCATCTACGGAGCCCTCCAGGGGACATGGGGATTTTTTTTTCTTTTCCTCGTTCCCTTGCAAAAGTTTTGCGAGGGAACGCAAAAGAAAAAAAAAATCCCCAGTTCCCCTGGAGGTCTCCGTAGTCATCTATCCTCACATTGAAAATTTAGAGGGAAAGTTTTCATTTTCAGTAAATTTATTTACTGACACAATATAATCAATAACATTTTAGGGGTTTTCTTGGCACTAGTGGGGTTTATTGTACAATGATTGCACAGGAAACAGAGTCCAGAAAGAACGGGAAGGGACATGGTACGGCTGCTCCACCAACTGAGTCACCAAGGGCTCCATGTTGTCCAAAATAAAGTTTTGTCAACCTAGCCATGTGCTAAAAACAAGGTAGAAACCTACAGAGAGAGAGAAACCATTCTCAATACTTCTTTACACAAGCTCTCTCTCTAAATCACCTGAACTCTCTTGTGGTTTCTCTCTTTTGCTCTCTTTCCTCCTCTGCTCGCCTGGTGGGATTTCTATAGGATTTAGGTTAGGGGACTGAGGTCATCATGGAGAAAGTTTGACATAGTTTTAGATGAACCATGTAGGGATATGTTTTTGATAATTATCCTGCTGAAAGATGGGATAATACCTGAAGTCACAAGATTTTTAATCATAACATTGTATTTAAAGAAGTTCATCATACCATGGGCTCCAGCCCACGAAACCAAAAGGTGATTTTCAATTTGTCAACAAAGAGAAAAGCATAATTTTACTAATAGCTACACATCACATGGTTATAGATACTTTATAGATAGATTTTTATTTATTTTTTGTTGTTGTTGTTGTTTGGCATGCCTTCCAAACAGCTGGTTGTCATATAGACAGACAAAACTAGCGGTTTTAAAACTTTTTGACCCAAATAATGACGTTCTTTGCTGTAGTGAAGTTTGGATATTTATGTTTTTTTACCTCCTTTACTGTCATGCTCAGTGCTAATAGTGTTAAAATAAATAGCGATTCAGCCCCCACAGTAGTGTTGTTGCCTATTTCTTCATGAAGGGAAGAGAAAGTCATGGATTAGTAATTAGAAAAACCTGGACTTCTTGACTTTTTCTGTTCTACTTTACATGTAGAGCAGAAAAAGACGACTTAGTTGGATTTATTTTGTAATAACTTTGATGCATCAGTAAAATATCATGTGCTCAAAAGAAGGCTAGATATTTCACATTTTTTTGATGTGAGATAATTTATAACATCAAATGTTACTTGGTTTTCAGCTTCGGCTTGTATTAACAACACAGTTTGCATAAATAAAATGATTTTTTTTAGACAAAGGCTCAATCAGGATTTTTACCACTAATGTCATTTCCATCTAAAAAACAAGAAAACAAAAGTCTCAGTGCAATCATTAAAATCATTAAAATGAAGGTGATGTAATTAGTCCAGCAGCGGTAAAACATTACAGTATCACATGCTCTACGTTAACATCAAGATTGTGCCCCACTTAATTCGCTCACATCATGGTAATGTTGCTGCAATTTCTGTTTTTCCTGACAGTGTTGGGTATTTTGTCCCAACAGGCGTTTCTGCGGGACACTTTTATGTTTCTCTATTAATATCTGGTTCAAACTAAGTGGCCGAGTTTTAAAGTGATGATGTTCCCATCATGTGCATTTAAAGTGGGTATAAATGTGGGGAGTTTCCTAATTTATTCCTCACCAGAAACTGCTTTTTGTTGTTTGATTTCACATGACAGTTATAAAGACTTAGTTATAAATCCAATACAGAATAACTCATTTTAGGTGTTTGTTGGAGACATGTGGAACTTTTTTTTTTTTTGCTTGAGATTGTGAATTAAGGTGCATGCGGTGCTGATGACACCAAGGACATCAGAGATGTCTCGTAAGTTGCGATTAAAATGTACCGAGACACACTGGAAGAATACAAGGATGTGGTTTGGCACGCCAGTGGTGGTTTTTAAACTGTGCAAACTGAATTACACCTTGGAAACGCAGACACGCACAGACTCTGCCTGTCTGCCTTGGCAAACATTTACTCACATTAGGTGGAGTTTGAGTGCAGACAAAGCATCGCAGGCATTGTTCCTACACATTATTAAACTTTTAAGCCACCGATAAACAGGATTGTAGGGAAAAAGAAAAAGAGAGAGGGGGGAAGTTAGAGTAAGTATTCATCCTCAGCGCTCACACATTCACTCACCCACACTTTTATTATTGAGTCACTCAAATGAGCTTCAGAAGACGACCATGAGGTTTTGCCTATTTTCCTATCTGCTGGCAACCTTCACCTGTTTGTCATCACCAGTTATTTATTAAGACTGTCCCTTAAATTGACATTAGAGTTTGTTTTTTGTCAAATTGGGCCCTTAAAGAGGAATGCTCCTCTAACAAGCCGTAACAAGCGAATGAATGGCTGGCTTCTCAAACTTTAAGGGTGTTATGCACCATGTCCAACTTCAAAGCCCGTCTTAACTCCACACTTTAATTGTATCTTCTTCAAGCCCGTCTGCCTGACCGCCATCTGATTCTGCTGACAACTGCACTCCTCTTACTTCTCCACACTCATCCCTCTATCTCCCCGTTCCTGCTTCTCTGTCTTTCTCCATCTGTCAGAGCAGATAGATGCCCCCTCCTCCTCCACCAGCCCCCACCCCATCCTTCTTCCTCGCAGTTCCTTCAGCTTCTCCAACAAACTCTCTCTGCTACAAGTGTCAACTCTAAATTACTTTTTTTTTTTCTGGGAATGTGTTGACATCTGCACGGAGAACGATGCTGTTTACCACACTTTTCCTCCCTCCCTCCCTCCTTTCCCTGTTTATTTCTCTCCTTTTTTTGCCGTTTCTCTCAGAGCCTACAAACAGACATTCACGCTTCTCTCCATATGGGCTTTAATTTGCCATTGTCCCCCAAGATATTCTTCGCTCAGGCTTGAGATAAAGGGATAATCACTTCAAAGGGAAGCTGGGGGGGGGGGGGAGTTTCCCCCTCCCTCCCAGCTGAAAGGAGAAGTGGACAATACGCTAATTGAGAGGGGGAACTGATCACAGGGTCTGTTCAAAGGGACGCCTGGCCACGCCCCCTCCTCCCCACCGATGCACTTAATTTTATTAGTGTTTATGGCGATGCTTCAGCCAAAATTATCACTCCAACCCTCCACAGCCTTTGAACATCCAAATTTTGGGTTATTTGCAATTATCCACCCTTTCGTCTGTGTTTTTTTTTTTTTTTTTTTGGCCTTTTTAGTATGGGGATTTTTGGAAAGAGCAAAGAGTGATTAAAAAAACAACAACAACCAAAAAACAAGCTGTATGGGATTTATTGTCCGCGATGTGGGAACACAGGTTGTTGGCTGTGATGTGATGCAAATCCAAAGGTTCTTGTGAAAAAGTGACAAAAAGGGGTTTAATACGGGCCTTATGTTTGACTGATGCAACTAATGATGCACCATCAAAGACTTCTGCAGTTCGGCAGCGACATCGCTAAAAAGGAAACGGAGAGAGAAACAAAAAAAAAGGAGGGAAAAGGATTTCTTTCAAACAAATCATCTCTTCCATTCCAGTGCCATCATTTAACTCCCCTGTCTATTTCTGTGCGTCCTGATGACACCTCTGCTGACAGGAGCGAAATGAACGTTTTTCCCTTGCCATGTAAGGGAGGCTCTAATTAAAGACGAGTTTCATTTCCAATTTGCGGTGGCCCTACCAGATGCCTTTAATTTCTCCCAGATCACGAGCTCTCAATTAGCCTTGAGGTCACCCTATTTTATTGGTGTGGGGGGGGGGCTTTGTAGCCTGTCGGTGGCAGCACTTTTGTTCCTGCATTGTGCTTTTAGTGCTTTTGGATCCCCCCAGTAAGTTGGTTAGAGTCCTTACAAAGGGGTCAGGGCGAGGTCAACTTCAAAAAGGAGTTTCTTGTGGATAGTTTAGAGCAACCTCACCCTTTTGTTACTGCTCGACACAAGAGCGCTCTCTCCGTGGTCAACAGGTGTGGTCTCTTGGGTTCAACATCTCGCAACAATTAGAAAAAGAAGAATTAAAGGAGGGAGCATCTGTAGGACAGTAGGTGACTGAAAATGTTTCTACCCATTGAATGTTTTTAGATTTTCACAAGTTACATCCACAAATTTTAATGAATTTTGTTTTATTGAGATCTATATTAGTAAAGGGGGTTGGTTACAAATGCATGTCATGCTTTGTTAAAAAAGAAATTAAGACCTTGTTTATTTTTTTCCATTTATTTATTCCACACTTTTGCATATGCGATAGTGTGGGACGGGCATGGGGCAACATTTGTCTTTCTGTTAAGTAATTGGACTTTTTCCTCCTTCTTCCCTCTGGTGTTGACTGGAACGATTGTGGTGGGGATAGTATATGGTGCACAGCAGGTGCATGGATGGTGGAGATAACTGGTTCGACTTTGGTCATCACAAGTTGGTGATAACGTTTTACAGAAATGCAGATGTTTTGTGGAAAACATGCTTTTTACATCAAACTAATCAAACAAGTAATCATCACATGTTGCTTAGATGACAAACAATATATGAAGTGATTTTTCAGAGAAGTCAGACCAGCCATTTTAAAATGACTTAACAAATTATATATGAAGCTAAGGTATTGATACACTACAATCATCCAAATAACAGCAATAGCTAAAATATCAAATATATATATTTGCCAAAGTGGATGAATTAAGGGGCAAAGATTTCACACAAATTTAAGCGAACATTGTTGTTTCTACATTATGTTTCTTTCCCTGCTTCCTAAAACTCAGCATGAATTAATAATCTTTTAGTGACCTCAGAGAAGCTGGATTTCATTAGCTGTCCTGTCCTGTACCATCATGGGAGTTTTGTGAATTTGAATCCGCTGACTTATATAATTATATCCTCCTTTAAAGTTGATTTTCAACATCAAAGGGACAATATAGCCTTTGAAGTACCATGGGATTGGATCACTGTCTAACCCACTCTTTAAGATTCTGTCACAATGACATTAGGGAAGTCATGTGAATTAAAAGACTAGAGAACAGCTCTTTGCCTTTGCTCTGTGTCCAATTTCAATCAAAATGTCATGCTGTGCCATTTTCCCCTGAATGTGGAACTGGCGAGTGTGTTACACTCACATCTTTGTGGCTAAAATCCTGTGACTAATATGTAAATTATTTGACAGTTTCACTCCACAGGATTATTAAATCGGGCCCAAAAGTTAAAGAATAAGTTTTAAATCATTGTGTACGCCGGTGCCAAGGTCCAAGGCCACATGAAGGCCCAAAACAGAATTCAGCTCAACTAATGCCCCCTTTATATTACCCAAATGTTTATGCGTTATGCATCTTTTTCCCTTTGTAGTTCAGGCAATTCTGCCATGTGAAAACATAGGGAGCAAAAACAAAATAATTCACTCAAATTAATCATCCACCACTTGGATTCAACTTTCTTGAACATCACATAAGTTTGATTGTACTGAAACCTGAGGAATTTGGAGGCCAAGTCCACGCCCCAAACTTACTACCAGTCCCAATTTGTATGTGTTATCTTGCTGAAAAGGGGATTTTCAATGCTTTTTTGGCATTTATTAGCTTGAGACGCTTGTGAAAAACAAGTCAAAGCTATTCAAAAATGATTTTACAGCATTTACATATTGACCTTGTCCATCTCGACTGAAAACCCTCTTATGAAAATCACATTTTTTGTTTCTTGTTGTTCTGATAAGCTGCAGCTTTAAACAGCATGGACTGCTAGGGCTCTTGCCCAGGGCACCATTCATTCAAGAACCGCTACTGTACAATAAAAAATATATCAGAAAAGTTGTAATTAGGCAGGTTATAATGATAAAAGCCTGCAGAAAGGAGACCATTGTAAAAACTAAAATGCGGCAGCGAGTGCTAACCCTTCTGTCACTTTAGGAGGTCACAGTCAACATACTGTTGCTTTTGTTTGCTTTGTGTCCCTGTTGAAACTTTGTGTTGTAACGGAAAGACAGTGAGAATAATAGTACTGGCGCGGTGGATCAAATACTTCTGAAGCTCCAAAGCCTCAGGGAGTTGGCTGAAGATTGCTTTCTTTGATAAGGTCCTGGCAGACAACTTAGTCCTTCCCTGTGTGTAAAAGTTTATTAAACCCTCATAAATGCCTCACTTATGACGCTTGATAGCAGAAATTGGCATGGAAAACAGTTTAATATGTTAATCATGTACTGAGTGTTATTATTTCGCCCCCCGGTGGCTAATTTTTTTTGCTTTATTTTGCGTCTAATTGTGAAGACAGGATGCAGCATTTTTTTTATGTCTCTTCCGGGACCAGGCCAGCGGTTCTTCACTTTGAAGTCCGCACTTAAACCTTTAGCCCAGTTGGTGTAGAAACAGCCGGGAGGATTTCAACCGCCTGCCATGACTTCTCGAAACACCTACCTGCGGAGACAAAAAGAGCAGTAGAGGAGAACAAGCTGCTTTATTTTATTTGTGACTGAATTAAACTTCTCGAATGCGAGAGATAGGACAGGGAGCGAAGCCAAGACTGCTTGTTTGGGACCGTATTTACTTCACTTTTACGTTTTCTAATCAGAGCGGCAACATGGATGGTGAGTTGTGCAGGGAAGCTGTTCCACAGGCCCCCTCTCTCGGCCGCTTTGATGTGCTGCTCCTCAGCTTTGAAGTTGAGAAATGTGGGCTGTGTTCCTTGTTTGTGGGCGAGAAATACGGTGTGATAGATAAGAGGCTTGTGTGTGTGTCTGTGCGCGTTTGCTAAGGAGCGAGAGGGAGCGCATGAATGTATGAATGTGTGGCTAAGATTAAAAAAACCGAGCATTTGTCGGGCGGTGTTGCTTCTTCTTTTGACTGGGTTTAAAAAAAAAAAAACGTGTGACCCCTCTTCTTCTCCACCCTCTTTCAGATTTTTGACACCCCCAGCGATCTACATAGGCGAAGAGCCTGCCTACTCTGAGGTCAGTTGTTGAATGGGACAGAGTGCGTTAAACTACCAGCGCTTGCTTGACGTGCATGTGGCGCGGCGGAGCCTCGGTATAAGTCCGCCCGTCGCTGATTTCTTCTCTTATTGGGGACTATATAACCACTCGGAGAGTTTTGGACTGATCTAAAAATGGACTAAGAGCTCAACTTTTTTTTTTCTTGACTTTTCATGGGTTTTATTCCGATCGACTCTGCCATGGTATGTAACATTTTCTCTCTTTTTTTTGTTTACATGCTGTTTGGTGCGTTACTTCGCCATCCGTTTCCACTTGTCCTTGCGGCTACGGTCTCTTAGAAGTTCCCAATCCTAGTAGCTTTTGCTTAGCTTTTCCCTCCCTCCTTCTCCTTCTTCATCTTCTTCCTACCAGCTCAGTCGTTGGTAGTTCAGACACGTCTCCGGACTGTAAAAAACATGTTGTAATCACCCGCTCTGATTGATAATAATCACGCACGGTGTAGATACGTCTCCGCTCAAGTTCGTGGCGGTGCATACGGGGAGTCTGTGCGGACAAGTGGAAGTGAGTGGTCGTGTGTGATTGGGAATTAATTGGAGTTGAAGCCTGTGACACGGACTCGTTAGGAGAACACGTGTAAGCCGCTATAGTATGCGATTCTGTGAAGAGAGTTACCGTGTGCGAGATGATTATTCTGCTGAAATGGTTTTGATGTGGCAGATCAATGCACGTAGAGAATGTGGGCTGCAGTTGATCTCTCATTTAGGTTATAAATAGATAAATGAAACCAGGGAGAAAAAAGGGCTTTCATTTTTCCCTTTATCTGTGAACCCTTAGTTCTATTTTCTTTCTTTCTTTCTTTCTTTCTTTCTTTCTTTCTTTTTTCTTATTTTTTTTTTTTTTGAAAGGGACTGTTTACTTGATGTCTGTCTTTTGAAGTTCAGGCAGGATCTGGCTTTGATTAGATCAATACTTTGTGTTTCAGAGTGAAGAGGAGCTGAGAAGCTCCCCCGCTGCTTTTAGCGAGTGAGTGAGGAGGATTTTTCTTTTTTTTTTTTTTTTTTGGAGGTGGGGGGTGGGGGGAGCTTGGAAGCTGGAGCTGAGGCACCACGGCGGCACTCTCACACAGGCAGCCGGAGCCATGAGCAGGGCGCTCACGGAGCACATCAGCGGTAGCTTCCGAGAAGATGCTCCCCGTCCTCCGGTGCCGGGGGAGGAGGGAGAGGCGTCATGCTACAACCCGAGCAGATCTGGCAAAATGAGAGCCCAGAGTAAAGTTAAAGATCTCCCCACCGCCGCTGCTGCCGCCGCCGCCGCCGCTGCTCTTGTCGGCTCCATGCCGCGGAGGAACGAGGATGGACTCGGGGAGCCGGAGGGCAGCGCGTCCCCGGACTCGCCGCTCGTTCGGTGGACCAAGTCTCTGCATTTCCTCCTCGGCGACCTGGACGGCGCTCACCTGTTCAGGACCTTCTTGGAGCGGGAGCGCTGCGTCGACGCGCTGGACTTCTGGTTCGCCTGCAACGGCTTCCGCCAGATGGACTTAAAGGATACCAAAACGCTGCGAGTTGCCAAAGTTATCTTCAAGCGGTACATCGAGAACAACAGCGTGGTGGCGAAGCAGCTGAAACCGGCCACCAAGACCTTCATAAGGGATAGTATCAAGAAGCAGCAGATAGACTCGGCCATGTTCGACCAGGCGCAGACGGAGATCCAGTCCCACATGGAGGAGAACGCGTACCAGATGTTCCTGACCTCTGACATATACCTCGAATACGTGCGCACTGGCTGCGAGAACGCCGCCTACATGAACCACGGCGGGCTGGGCAGCCTCAAGCTGATGTGCGGATATCTTCCTCCTCTCATGGAGGAAGAGGAGTGGAGTTGCAGTGACCTGAAGGCAAAAGCGTTGGGGTCTGTGGTGGGACTGTCTGCGAAGAACCTGAGGGCCACTGCTACTATCCGGACAGCAGCTGAAGTGCTGGAGAAAACCTACAGGTAACCTTTGCATTCCTGCTCACCTTTCACATGTTAGGACTGTCTGATGCGTTCAGTTGTGCAAACTGTATGCAGCCAGGATCACCACTGCTGAGTAAAGAGCCAGTTGTTGAACCAATCAGAATTGTCCTGGTACTGATTTCAGATTTTTTATTATCTCTCCATTTCAATTTTTTACTGTGATTGTAGCACAGACTAGAAAAGTGTCCAGAAGGATCCCGGCTTATGACTCAAAACATATGCAGCCTTTATCAGAATTTTATTCAGCTTAAAAGTACTCAAAGTAGCTGCCGGTTGTTGTGTTTTAAAGACTAGAAATGATGGGAATTATTAGTCCTGATGTGTCTGACCTGCCTTTAACCGATCAGAGCAGCGCAGGAGAAAATTGGCTGATTCTGATCCGTGGACGACAGATTGGTGCATTTTTAGTTATTTCACAAATGATTGAGGGGGAGAGAGTTAAAGCCACATGATCAAAGGTTCTCAGAGGAACATGCCTGTATATTTGTGCCCTCCTGCCTTGCAGTTAGTCAAGAGGTTAGAGGGGTGGAGGGGGCGGGGATGGATACAGAACATCAGTGCATCTGAGCCTTCCTTTTAAGTAAATGGTGTCTTGCAGGCAGCCCTCTGCTGGTTTGCTCAAGTTTCCTGTGCTTTGAAACCGCTCCTCCGGTTCAGGAATGAATTCAGACACCAAAACCTCATGACTGTTACAGCTACATCAAGCAGTGCGATGATAGTTTTTTATATTTATATATATAATCTGCCCTCTCTGAGCCTTTATAAATTTTGTTTACTGCCACAGAGTCTACTTAATGTCTGGAAATTCAAACAACTTTTGCAGATATCGCTCTTTTGGTCTGAGATGAAAGCGGAGCTGTGTGGAAAGCATTTGCGTTTTATCTTAAGAAGTCATCCCACACATTGTCCAACAGCTGCAATCTTTTCAGGCCAAGAAGATTTTCCATAACTTGGATTGGATGCATGAGGCTTCATCAAAGGAAATTCAAGAACTTGTTTCTTTCTTATTCGACCAAACAAATCTGTCTTATCTGAAAGGCAGTCGCTGCTTTATACTCTTGTTTGGCTAGAAAACGCCAAGTTTGTAGATCATTTGTACCTTTCGTGTCAAATGGGTTTGTTGCTGGTATAAAGGTATGCTGACGTTTTGAAAAGTCCAGCTTTACCACAGTGTTGGGGAGGCTGAAGTTTTAGCCGACTGAATGGAGCGTAGAGTAGTGCAGTGCTGCCCTTTCCCCACCTGTTGCTGGCTAAAGGAAGCCTTCCTGTTTTTATTGTACTTCAACTTCAGGTGCTTTAAAGTATTTAACAGGCTAATTCCTAGTGATGGTGGAAATTTGTGTCCAGTAGGACTTCAAAAAAAAGTTTTAATCTAAATTTGTAGGTATAATCAGATTTTAAACAAGCTACAGCTTTAAAACTGCTGGAATTTTCTCTGTGAACCGTTTCTAAGGTTTAATGAGATGAATGAATGAATTATGCAGCGCTATGTCTCAGCAAACTGTGGCTGCAGACTGCTGGTCAGCTGGTGAACAGCTGCTACATCTTTTTAAATATTTCTAGAAAGAATTTAGAAATGTGAAGCTGCTGGGGGGAAAAAGCAGTCACATCATGTTGTACATTTTTGTTTTGAAACTCTAAAACCGTGACGTTATTATACTTTTTTTGTTTTTTACTCAAGGTTATCACACTGTGGGAATCCCTCACTGGCACATACATAGTGCAAAAGTAAAAAAAAAAAAAGTAGTGTAATAACTCGACTCCAGTTTGTCCCCTGAGAGTTTTTTGCCCTTCATGGGAGCAGATGTGAGATAACAACAGTTGCTCATTTGCTTGGAAGTGGCCATGTGGAGAGCGGGGGAACCAATAAGTGCAGGGTTTGTTGACATGTGGGCATATCCTGCTTTCCTGGTGTGATCTCCCGTGTTCTTGTTTTTCCTCTTTAAAAAGAATAGCGGGAGGGAGAGAGAGAGAGAGAGAGAACATCGTTTTACCCTTTCGTCCCCCTTTCCCACTGCCCCTCACCATCTCTGTGGGTCAACCAATTTCCATCTCAAACATGTGGAACTAATTTTGCCACTGCACAGACTCCTCTCGTCACTTTTCGGAGGGACCTCCAACACTCCCAGACTCCAAAGCGGTGGAACGGCACGACAAAACATCCTCGTCTCAGTTCCGCCGCTCCGACCGCAGATCCCGCTCCGCAATGGATTTATGTGCGTCAGTGTTTTCCCTCCTCTTTCATTTCTGTCCTGCGCTTTTATCTCTTTGGTATGAAAGAGGGGGGAAAAAATCCGTCTGACAGAGACTAAGCATGCTTTGGAAGGAGACAGAAAGACAAGAGGAGGGGAAGAGGGAGAAAACAGGAAGGGTGGGGGGGAGGGTCATGAAAGAAAGAAAAGAAAGATGGGGAGTTGGGGAGGGGGGTGTGCAGAGAGCCCAGCTGTGCTAAATACCTGACTCTTTGCGTGGACCCTCCAAAGGTCAGATTTGTGCTTGGGGCCTACGGCTTTAGTCATGCTGGGGTTCTCCTCAGCTCTCCCGGCAGAAGGCATTCTCATAAAGAAAGGGGCCCTCCTTCCCCCTTTTTCCCTCTCTCCTTCTCACTCCCTCTCTAAAGCTTAAGTTCCCCCTTCCTCTCCTTCCCTGTCCACCCCTTCACTCCTGGAGCAGGAATGCAACACAGCAGGATAGAGAGCAAAGAGACAGAGAGACTTTAGAAAGGAAGGCAGGGAAGAGGTGGCAAGGGGGGCGGGGGGCTTGACCGGCTGATAGCAAAGAGAGATGGAGAAGTAAATTCGTCAGGAAGGTGAAAGTGGGAGAGATCGGGAGTCTGGGCCCCAACAAAAGGCTGCAGCCATTACATGTTAGAGAGGAAGAACACGAAAGTAAACAACAACCTGTAGAATAACGCTGATGCCACATTTCCTCCTGGACACCTCTCACACACGCCGCTCAAATTACAGAAATCTGCAGAGGACATCAGCAAAACAAACTCGGAGCTGTTTGACTTTACACCAACAGGAGCAGGAAAGAGAGCAAACAAACTGTGTCACTTCACCCTTCCTTCTCTGTCTTGAAGTCTGGAGAGCATGACATTTGCTTTGGTTATTTGTCATATGGATAAATACAGAGAAGAAGGAAGTGGAGGGTGAAAACATGTTTGAGTTTCTGTTGTCTAGAGCTCTGGTTTCCAAACTGTTCAGCTTTTGACCCACCTAAGAACAGCGGAAGAGACATCTGATCCGCAATAATAGAATATACAATGTGTGTCAATTAAACAGGACGACAGCGACACCTGAAACACCAGCAGCAGCCAGTGTAGTTGCTCTCGTCTACTTGAAAATAACATTCTTATGATAAATTATCTTTCTTGAAATCAGTTTTGTTCAGTTTAATTTCTAAAGAGGTTTCCTACAAGTGCTATTTTTTTTACTCAAACTTTGGGAAGCAGTGGTCTAGAAAAAAAAAAATCTAAGGAAAATGTGCATTTTACATTGATTTGATTTACCACATTAACTTTTTTTTTTTTTATAAAAGAAAAGCATGCAAGCAAAGGTCCAAGATTCATTTTAATGGATTTAAATTTACCTTAGGACACCCAATCTGGATTACAATCAAATTTAGGTGTGTTACACTTTTATTTAGAGTTGATTTGACTTAGTCTGTGGGCCAAAAAAAGAACATTTTCACTTAAAATGCAGCCAACATGTGCTCCATCATTTGTGGAGCATCCAGAAAATAAAACCAAACTAGATAAATGAGTTTTACTCATATTTCTCAAATGTTATAAAAACAGATAGAGATCAAGCACTTACTGCCTGAAATCAATTTCCTCTTCGTTTTCTTTGAGGTCTGACTTTCTGGTCCCAATTTTTTCTGGTTTTGGTCTTTTTTTTTTGTCTCTCTCGAGCACTGTTGCACAAAAGGAGAAACAAAATGTTTCACCTGTTCTTTGATTTTGATAGTAGTAAATTATATACTAGTTGATGTTTTTACTGACCAAAAACCTGGTTGGACTTTTTGGTTTTATTGTTTTTAATAAGCAACAAAGAAATTCTCAGCCCTCGACTCATCAGTCATCTTTCTGCACCGATCAAGGGAAAGAGAGGTCCGATTTCTTGCCGATTTATTGGTGAATCCGTGAAAATGGTGTGTGGAATTTTGAAGCCGAAAATCTGTTGAGACCATTTAAACCCAAATGTCATTAGGACCCCGCGTTAAAAACGTGTCTTTGGATCTCTCTCAGGTCCCATCGACGAGGAGACCCCGCCAGCCCGTACTTCATCAACTCCGGCTACATTTTCGCCCCTGCCACCAGTGCCAACGACAGCGAGATCTCCAGCGACGCAGCGACAGACGACTCTCTGTCGATGACTGACAGTAGTGTGTAAGTGTTGAGCTTTTGTGCAGGTCCTAAAAGGATGAAACTGCAGCGTTTTCGGGGAGGCTCGTTTCCATGCAGCCGATCGCAGCCAAAGCTCTGTTCAATTTATTACTTCCATCGTATCTGAATGAGCCCCGGCCAGAAGTCAGTCAACACCTTTCCAGGAAAACGTCCAGGGGTGTAAAGAAAAATATTTGGCCTTGTAATCCAACAGGTTTAGCTTTTCCTTGGGGCCAGGGGACTGCATTGGCGAAGAATAATGGAGTGTAATGTATTTTAATTATCCTCTGTGATTGACTCCAGGTAATTCTATTACTGTGCAGTTGTTACTATGGCCTCAGGGGAGATAACTCTGGGAAAGTCATTACGTCTGAAGGCCTTTTGAAGTTTATTATGATGTGTTGCAGGCTGGAACAAGGAAAAAAAAAAGACATCTTGATGTGGGTGGGGGCGTTGCCTCATTTCCTCAATGTTGATATGTATTCATCCCACCCACCCTTCTGCCACCAGACTTTTTTTCCTTTTTTTTTTTTTTTTCATATTATCTAATCGCTTTTCCCTTTTGAAGACCTGCAGGAGTAAAGTGGGGTGCGGGGGGGCTTGTCCATTCGGGTCTCAAGACAAACTCATTGAAAAAAAATGTTGGCACCAAATGAAAGGCGGCTTTCTCACATGGTGGGTCGGTTTCCTGCCACCGGCCTCCGCAGTGTGCTGAGATCATGTGTCTGCGAGGCTTTCACGGGGGTTACTCGTTTCTAGACCCCGAGGCAAGACGTAAGGAACCCCCGCCCCCTTCTCCTCCCTTTCCCCTCCTGGCCAGTCTGGTTTACCCATGCAGCTTCTCTCCTCCATCTTCCAGAGTTGTAAGCAAGAAGTGGCGAGGCTCCCAAGTGCAAGGGAGTGAGAAAATAAAGTGCACGGAGTATAAAGGGCTTAACCGAATCGCTTTCAGCCTATTGTTAGGTGAGGGGAGCTTAGCAGGATAAGAGGGTGGCTAGCTGCTTTGAAAATGACTTGCACCGCTGAATAGGAGATCCCCATAAAAGTGAGGGCCATGAAACCATTCTCTTGCTGTCCAGTCACATGGTCTGGGATGTTTTGATAAATAGTGAAGTTGGTCAGGGAGGAGTTGGTAAGCTTTGTTTGCTGCTAACTTTGGAGTTCAGGTTGGGTTTCCCATAGCTACTTCCTGTTCCTTCGGGGGTTACGGCTTGTAGTCTCAGGTTGTGCTTTGGGAAGAGTTGAATTTGAGGTAGAAGAATCAACATGTCAGCCTTGTGTCCGTGATCAAATCTCTCTGGTGTTAAATGTGATAAAGTTCCTCAGATGAAACAAATGAGCTAACTGCTGAACAGCGTCACTTGTCAAAGTTGTATTCTTTAGCACATCCTCGCCTCCTTCTCATTCCAGAGGACGGCTTGATTAGCAGTTAAAAGACGGTCAGCACATTTAAATCTTAATTTCCCAGAAAAAGAACAAAAAGAGATGGATTTTAGAAAGAGGAGAAAGGGTGGTGGTAGTGATGGTGGAAGGGTGGGATTTTTTTTTTCTCTCTCTTTTTGCTTATATCTTATTTATGGATTTACTTGGACGCTGGGGAATGCTGCTGCACCAACTTCAAACATTACCTTATCTTACAAACCAGCCTTTTGATGTTGCCGAGATCAGAGGCTCGCTGCGGAGCGCTTGCCAAACGAAGATGGCAGCGGGTGCATATGTGCATGAGTGTGAGATTTCAAAGAGGCAGCAGAAAAAAAGTAGCGATTGGGCTAGGTCAGACACTTCTGAGCGGCCAAAGCGGCCGCAATAATTGGCCGAGAGTAAGTGGCAGCTGACTGGAGGAAGCCGGCAGACAGAACTGGAGGATTAGGTTCCCAGAATAAATTCGTAATTGTCCAGAGAGTTTTAGTGTTGCTTGCAAAACATCTCTATTTCATCTAACTGTAAAGCAAAAAGAACCTGAGCACCGTTTGGCATGCAGCTTTAGTCTTTTGTAGCTTCGAACTAACCAGATCCTGAAAGTTGCGTTTTTTTTTTTTTTTTCCTCAGTTTGAATAACAGAGTGGATAAATCAGAAAGACTGTCTTTAGCTCATATTTTCTTTTATGTTTTGTTCTGCGTTTCTGTATTTATCTTGACTTTTAAGACCTGCCTGAGCGTTTGGTTGTATTAATGCCTGAGATGCACTGAAAAATCCTCCGTTGAACTGAATTCGTAAATTTTGACGGGGTCCTGTCCGGTGGCCAGTCTGAAACTCGGAAATCTGAATATCTTCAGATCAGTTAATGCACCATACACAAGCGATACCAGGTTATGCTAACTACAACACTCTTTGTTGAGGAAGCCGTTACTGAGTGAAGACTCGGTTGTTATTTTCCGTATCAGTGAGGTATTAAATGAAAGTAAAGACTGAGATTTAAGGAGCTATTTTAAATCAAATCATATTCTCTCCATGTAGAAACGTGCCTGTCATTCATTCAGGCTGTGAGAGAGCAGGCCAAGAGCAACAGATTACTAAATCAGATTACAGTAAGCTGGACAGAAAAGTTGTAGTGAAATGAAACTTGTTTGAGATGGAGCTTTTGAAAACCTCAGAGAGCAAAGATAAGCGTCTGAATCCTGAAGCGAATATGGAGACTGATGCTAGCTATGCTAACAACACCAACCATGCTAATCGGGTATAAAGGATACCAAAGAGCTGACAATTTAAACCCTGCACTAAATATTCATAGATATGAAATCCTGGGATGATAATGATATAAATATTACTATTATTGCCAGTAGCTGATATTGCTTCTCTGCTTTCAATCTTTCGCTGCATCACTTTCACTGTTGGTGACGAGACAAATGCCACATGGTACCCCATCCCAAAAACGCAAACGGCAACATTATGAAAGTAAACACTGGTTGTTGTTATGTATTATTTTATGGTGCTTTAAATGAGCTTTAAAAAAAAAAAAAAAAAAACAGCGCAGTTGTTGCAGAGATATTTTTGATACAGTGATCAGCATATTACAAAAAATAAATTTGGTTATTATTGGATTTTAGTTACTTTTTACAACATTAAATGGTATTTTTTGCTTTTATTGCAGAGATGGAATCCCTCCTTACAAGATGTGCAGCAAGAAGCAGCTGCAGCGAGAGATGCATCGTAATGTTAAGATCAATGGCCAAGTCACGCTACCCCACTTTCCTGTAAGTTCATCTTTGTTGGAATCTGCATTCTGAGTTTCAGTTTCTTTTCAGAGTATGACAAATTCAATTCAATTCCTTGTGTATTTCCAAAAACAAAATCCTTAAAATAAATATCTTTGCATACTTCTAATGTCTAAATGTCTCTGTTATATTTCTATCTCAGTTGCTTCTGTGGCTATTATAATAGAAATAGTTGAAATCTTTCTGTCTCCATCACTGCATGTCAACAGTCGTCATGATGTCAGATTACAGACCAGAAATTCCTCAACAACGTGTATTTGGTTAAAAAAAAATGTGTGTGTGTGACCCAGACAGTGTAGGTTGGTTGATTTGAGATATTTTCTGACCTGCTGAACTTGCTGCAAGATGGTTTAAAGAACTGGGTGAAAACAGGTTGGCACAGATTAGGAAGGAGGAAAATAAACACACATTTCTTTTGTTTCCATATCCAAACACAGGTGGAGGAGATGTGTTTGTGCATGCATTTTTTTTTTGTTTTTTCCCAGTTTTCTCTCAGTCTATCCTTCTCTCTCTCTGTCTCTTTCTTTTCCACTTGCTCTTCTTTAATGTCTCCCTCCTGATTTGGAGATGGCTCTGTCTCCCATGATGCACCAGCCCCAGGCAGCGGGGGCCCCGTGCAGGGCTGGCGCTCCTTTGCCAGCAGCTCCGCTTGCCTTTTTTCTTCTTCCCTTTATCGTGTCTACAAAGAGATGAGAGAAACAACAAAAAAAAAGTCAAAATCAAGAAAGCCAGTGTGCCAAATAACAAAAAAAAAAAAAAAAAAAGTGTGAAATGGAGAAAGAGAAGCCAGCCCATATAGTTAAAGAAAAAGGAGGATAATGTGACTAGAGTACCTCTGAGCTGCCCTGCATGCAGCCTGGAAATAAATTACTACTTTCCTTCAGATCTTCCCAGTATTTGACTCCTCTGTCTTCTTACTCTCTCTCCTCCCTTCTTTGCCACCAATGCCACTCCGCAAACACGCACATCTCAATCTTCTTCCTCTCCCTTCATGCTGTTAATTTTGTCGCCCCCCCACCCCTCACACACGCGCACACTCGCTCTCTTCTCCGTCGATATCAGGCTTTTATTCGGAGATTTAAAGCCGCGTGTCCCTCCCACCCCTAGTGTGCGTTTGATGTTTGACAAGGGCCCTTTGAAGTGTGCTGACTTCAGAGGCTGCCTTGCTGATGGTTTGGTCGGGCTACAGAGGGTACAGGCAGGGGGCCTCCCCTCCGAGCGAGACCAACTGCTACCCCGCTACTGCTACCCCCGTCTTTTCCCCTCACCCAGCAGCTTGGCACCGCCAAGGGCACTGGGCATGAGAAGATCTGGGACGGGATGGGCAGCAAGAAAGGTTCAGGTTAGCCCGAGGGCAAGGGCGTGTGTAGTAGGTCCCATTTTTTGGAAAAGTAGCAGGCTCTTTGGAACGAGATAGGATTAGGGCAAGGGCAATGGATTAGTGCACCATATTGCATCCATCCGAAACACCAAGTAGCCACATTTGCACACTTGTTAAGGTGTCCCTTCCCCTCCCTGTGTTGTTTATCCCGCAGAGGACGCACCGGCTGCCTAAGGAGATGACCCCAGTCGAGCCCTCAGCTTTTGCTGCCCAACTCATCGCCAAACTGGAGAAGCTGAAGCGTGAGCAGGACACGATGAGCTCTCTGGAGGAGAGGCTGCAGCAGATTCAGGAGGTGAGCATTTACAAATGCAGAGCTTTTCCAGAAGTGTCATCTTTTCACATTTTTTATTTTAGTGATCTTTATGCGACGAAACAGCACAAAATCTACTTTAGAACCACATGTGTTGCTTCCAAATTTCATTTACATAGAGGAATGTTTCCCTATTCTTATTTGAAAAACACAGCCAAGGTCAGTGAGGCTGGTTTGCATAGTTGTTTGCAAATATCCATTTTTCAAGTCTGTTCACAGTTTATCAATTAGATTTAGGTCTGGACTTTGACTGGGCCATTCTAACAGATGCATTTAAGCCACCTTTCTGCCACCTCCGTGTTTTACAGTGGGGATGCTGAGCTCAACGCATTTCTCTACCACACAGTTGTTTTATACGTTTGTCAAAAAAGTTAAACTTTAGCCTCATCTGACCAGAACACATCCTTCCACAGGCGAACCGTATCCTGTGAAACAGCAAAAATGTGGAACGTTTAAGGAGTGTGAATATTTCTGCCAGGCGCTATGCCTCCTCAAAAATAGTCTTAACAGCTACTTAAAGCATGCCTCCCACTTTGTAAATTCCAACTTGGATCCAATTAATTTCAGGCAGCAGTTCTAAACTTCAGTACAAATGCCTTTACGCCAGCTTTAGCATGACGAAGAACAGGGTACGCGCCGTGGGATTGCAAAGTTTGTCTGGATTTAGCTGCTTCTTCACTTTTCCTTTGTGTTCTCTCCTATTTCATTTGGAAGGAGGAACTTTCAAACTTATGTTTCTAGACACACTTTAAGTGCCTTCAAATAGCACTTAGTTACTCTCCAGTGGCACATTTGCTGAATATGTGTAGTGCCAGTTTCTTTGTGAAGCACAGGCAGATTCTGCATTATAGATGAAGCGCACCCAAAGCCTGTTAGGGAAGATAACAGTGCAGCAAAGGAGAAAACTCACATCAAGTTATTCAGGCATTTGCTCTCTCTGACTTCACAGGACGACTGAGAGAAGTCGATGGGAAGCTGACGGAGAAGTTCCTCAACAATATGTGATTACTGTTTGGTTAATCGCCGTTTCCTTTTGGGGTCGCAGGAGGACGAAAGGGAGGAGAGCAACGACCCGAGCAGCAGCAGCTCCCTTCATCACCCCCTGCTGCCGTCCGCAAGCCAATGTGAGGAAGACCCCCAGGCCATCTTAGACGAGCACCTTTCCCGTGTCCTGAAGACGCCCGGCTGCCAGTCGCCTGGCATCGTCCGGCACTCGCCACGCTCCCGCTCCCCGGATCAGACCGGCGTTCTGGTGTCGTCTGGCCACGCGACTCTTTTTGGTGCTTATCAAGGGTCCACTAAGGTTCTGATGACAGGCAGGCAGTCCACGAAGCACATCCACCACCACTACATCCACCATCACCATGCTGGGCCCAAAACTAAAGAGCAGATTGAGACTGAAGCGGCTCAGCACGTGCAGTGCCTCTGCCCTCAAGGGGGCACCAATTACTCCGACTTCACACCTGCGTGAGTGCAGCATCCTAGCTATCCCTCCTATATCTGTCATTGTGTTTTGCTATTTAAAAGCCCTGACGGCTCCCTGCTTAACTCTCCAGTCGCTGCAGCACTTTGTCCAGACGACCATTGAAGGCCTCCGATGAGGGTGTGTCTTCACCATGCCTTCCCATGGTTTCCACCGACCGCTCTCAGAATGTTTGGCAGTGGATCCTGGAGAGCGAGAGGCAGGGCAAGCACAAGCCCCACAGGCAAGGGCCGCAACGCCACCCGTACGGCCAAAAGGTCTGAGTCACGTCCTGTACTGACCCGCATTGTCCTCAATCAATCCAACAGCACTCAAGGCCTAAAGAAGCCCAGTCCTCTCGATTCCAAGATCCTGCCTGCTAGGACCAACACCTGGGGTGGAGCTGGCACCTGCAACGGGAGTCACCTCCGTGGCCATCACCCCGGCCATCCGTTCATCCAAGATCCCGCTATGCCACCCTTACCCCCTCCCAACACCCTGGCACAGCTTGAGGAGGCTTGTCGCAGACTGGAAGAGGTTTCCAAGCCACCAAAGCAGAGGTAAGAAAATCATATTCCTTTTGAGCTGCAGTATGTAACTTTTATAAACACGTGTTTTTTTTACATGCTTCTTAAAATTATCAAAATGACGTTGTGACAGTATATGAAAGATAATCTGTGAAACTCGAGCTCCTGTTTTCTCCCAGTGCTCCCAGTACTAACTGCAGAAATACACCACTCAGTCAGAAACAACCAAATAAGCCAGGAGGAGGGTTTTAGCGCTGTCAATCACTCTTGTGTATGTGCTGCTCATATCCTCCCCCTTGCTCTTTGCTGCACGGTAGCTGGTTTACCACCACATAGCCTGCTACAAAAGTTAAGGCTAGTTAGCATGGCCACTGATAACTAGCCTTAAACAATAACTTGTTTCTTCACCATTAGCACATTTAGCAGCATGTTTACAAACATGATTGACAGTGCCAAGGCCCTCCTCGCGTCTCTGATTGGTTGTTTCTAACCGGGAGCGGTGCGTTGTGTAAACCGCAACAGCGGCACTGGGAGGAACTGGTGGCGCTTGATTTTTTTAATTTTAATTTTTATTTTTTTGTCACAGATTATCCATCTCATACTATATTATCACTACATGGCGACATTTTTAAGAAATATGGGCAAAACATATGTTTTATAATAGTTACATACTGCAGCTTTAACATCCTATTGGCTGTACCCAAACTGACTGATGGGTTAGGCTCTAATATCGCGTCTCTCTAACAGGCATTCAACAACGTCTAGCAGCCTTCAGAGAGACAGGAGCCATCCACCTGCTGGAACTGGTGCAGGCTCCTCTCAAACCAACCCAGAAGAGTACGTATTCATATTTGAGATTTGATTTTTGGTGAAGGAACGTGGACGTCTCCGTTTCCTCCCAGGTGTTCTCACGTCCTTCATGTTGTCCTCTCTTGTTTTGCTGTCTTACTCATTCAACATTAATCCTGCTTAAGTACAGCACCCATAAGCCTCACCATTTTCCCCAAACACACACACACACACACACACACACACACACACACACACCACCAGAATCAAAAATAATAATTTTTAAGTAGTTATCTAAAAGCAAGCTGATCTTATTTTGTATTTTCAGGTCTAAGGAGTTGGTGGTAACATACTTTTTCTGTGGCGAGGAAATTCCTTATCGCAGCATGATGAAGACCCACTGCCTCACCCTGGGTCACTTCAAAGAACAGCTCAGCAAGAAAGGCAACTACCGGTAAATATGCTGCTGCGACGCCACCAATCAAACTACAAACGACTTTGGACTGATACGAAATTTGTGTTTGACTTACAGTCTCAAGCTTTCACTTGCTGGTACATATTTACGCTGATTCTGATTTCTCTTAAGAGCTGCCTTTACCAGCATTTACAACATGTTGTATGTCTTCATGCTGGGAGATGTTTTCTTTTTTATATTAGGAAGTAGAGGCTACGCGATGTCAAGAGTGTGAATCACTGTAGAACGAGGTTGAAACAAGCAAATTTATTTGAAGTTGATATTTTCATTTTATTTTCAAATTATAGAGAAATTTAAATGGGACTTATCACAGCACTTGAATTTTTAAAAAGTTGACAGAGCAACTTCACGGCACTCTGTTTAGCCGCCCTGCTATCTGCAGCAAGTCTTGCTCTCTCTCGCTCTCTCACAGCCTGACACATAAATATATGTTCCTTCCAAATATCTTCTTGCACCTCTGAGCGTTTCATTTTTACTTTTTTTTACCCTTGGCCACCTGCTTAATGATTAAATATGTAGCATTAACGTTAACCGTAGTGTTTTCACCACGGACTAAAAAAAAGAGCCGACGACACTGAAAACCATCCAACAGCTGCTGCTTGGTGCCGATTTTCGGTGCACCTCTAACTCTGAATTATGATTAATGACACCTGTTGAGACAGGACAAGAATCACAGCAGATGGACTTAGAAAACTCCCCATTGAGTTTATATATATATATACACTGCTTTTGTTTGTATGTGTGAAGCACTGGAGCCTGAAAGCTGACAAAGAAACTAAGCCGGGCTCATCCACTGTACTTAGAGCTTTTTCAGAAAGAGGGGGAGAGAAAAAGGGGGATCTGGAGTGAATTTTTCTCACATCTGGTCCTGATTTACATGCTAAGGCAGCCTTAATAAATATGGCTTTGAAGCTAAGGTTATTTTATTTTGTGTGCAAAGACCATCGCAATGCCTTCAAATTCCTCCGCCAGACGATTGCATCAGACATTGAAATCCAACGCTGCGCTGAGCACCTTGTTCTGGCGAAGGTATCGGGGCCACGGCGATAAAGCCGCCACCGTCGGTGTCGCACGACGAAGCCAAACCCCCATCATCAGGACTTCAGTTGTAAGTACCAACAAGTTCTGAAGATCCGCCGCTGAAGCTACCGAAATACCTGTTTCGGGGGGGTGGGAGGGGGGAGTCTGTGGTATTTCAGCAAGTGAAGCCTCTGCAGTCACATCTGTTTGTTAGGCAAGAGCGGAGGAGAAGGCTCGCAAACAAGCCAGCGCTCCCCCAGCTACCCCATAACTCTTCAGCGAGCCTGTGAGAACAGGGGGTGGGGGGATGAAGCGCCTGGCTTCAATGGCAGCAGAATGTGTGGAGTTGGTTAATTTGGACATGGCAGCGGTTCAGCAGAGAACAGTACTCCGCAGCTCTGCCAGACAATATTGGTGCCAGATGTTGTGAGGAGAGAAAAATCCTGCCACATAAAACATGTTCCAGTGGAAAGACTCCTTCTGTCGCTCTGCCTCTGCAGCAAAGTGATGACTTTGAACTATTTGTGAGCATAAAATGTAGTTTTATATATTTATTTAAATGCAGCCATTTAGATTAAGATGGGTAGTGTGGCTGTTTTTGTGAGAAGAATAAAACAAGAAAGATAAATAATTGAAAGCGTTTGAGCAATGCCCAGAAGAAGTTAGACAACAGATGGAACTTTTTTTTGTTGTTGTTAGAAATGCAGTTTGATTACAAGCTTTTTTTTTTTTTTTTGCTTTTTGTCACATTAATGTTGCTGCCTGTTCTGCAGCTGTGATGAAACAAACCTCCTTCGCATTCATCTGCGATTACAATCAAAAAACGACGACTTATGTGTATATTTATGTACACCCTCCCCGTACATGTGTTGTCTGAATGACTCTAAGCTGAGCTCATAAAACACTCGGCTCCCCCTACTTTGTTTTTTTTTTTTCTTCTTCTTCTTCCGTTTTATATTCCGAATGCAGGCACACATGGACAAAATGAGGCATTTTTCCATTACAAAGCTTATCATTAAATCCCCTCCTGCTGATCTTTTTGCTGGGTTTAAAGTAGAGAGTGGAATCATTAGAAACATCAGGAGACTTCACAGCCACTGGGGCTGAGCTAGCCTGGGGAGCTATCTCCGCTTGTGTGAAGAAGAGGAGCAGCGGGTCGGCGAGGTGACCCGTGACCTCGAGGAATACCGTGTGAGGGCAGAGGTCCTTCGTCCAAACTGTTGCACACATTTGCTGAACCGCTGCTGCACCACATTTTGTGACCTGCTTCCGGCCTCCAGTTTTTGTGCTGCTCATTTTGATTTTGGCGAGTTTTGACTAATTTTTTAATGACTTCTACAAGAATATAAAAACATCATGTTTTTTTTTTTTTTCTAGCCTTCTATCCAAAGAGAAAGTGACTTATAGGGCTGTGATTTTACTTCTGATTTCAGAATTTTACATAGTCGAATGCAAAAGTATTGTTGATTATCTTCACTTCAGACTTTCGAAATGCTGCCAACATTTCAAAATTCAGCGTGTTCTATAACGGAGGTTTAAAGAAAACGGAGCAATTTTGCTGGACTATGTTCCGCTTTCCTGAAAGTTTAGCTCTCTAAGATACGAATATGATCATGCTTTGCACTTTTACACTGCAAAAACACAAAATCTTACCAAGTATTTTGCCTTGGATTTAATTCAAACATCTTGAATTAGGATGAAATTAACTTAAAAGTAACTTTTCAGCAAGAAACAGGAGGCTATTTTAAGTAAATATTTCATTAATATTAAT